AAAATAACAGGTTTAAAAAACAGAGTTAGATATTACCAAAAAATAATATTAAAAAACTAATCATTAAACCTATATATCACTTTATAAAAGAGATTTTAAGGCAATAATAGTTGTACCAGCGATAAAATACACCATACACCGAACCATAATACGCACCGCTACAAATTACTGTATAAATGGCACCTGATTGTATCCCTGTGGAACAGAGAGATTTTTATGATGCAAACATCACAATTAATTGGTCTATCTTGCTAATGGAACTCTGATTTACATCTCCATGTGGACCACTAGGAATGATGAAAACGTTGTTATAACACCAGATTTTTTTCTGTTATGTTAATTAAAACTATTAAAGTAGTTTTCCAAAAGATTTATTGTAAAATTAAATGAAGAGATCGACGAATAGTTGCTTTTGGCATTGTAGGTGTTACAATTTTATAAATTTCTTCATTTTAAAAAGGAATTTCTTAAAAAAAATATGTTTAACATATATTTTAATAGGCCTACAGTTTAATTTAAATATATGATATTCTGAGAATGACGTATTTTATAATTTGCTAATATTTTAAAACTTTCCTTATTTAATTTTGAAATGTTTAAATATTGTATGCGGTATAATAGGTTGTAGTTAAATGTATTTAATTAAAATGAACTGTAATTGCTTTTACTAGATGGTTTGATAATGGTGAGGTTGTAGCAAGAAAATTGAAAATAAGATGAAATCAAAAGATTCTTTTTGCCTTAAGTAATGACAACAATTATTTTATGATTCTTTATTATGGGAGTAACGTTAAAAAGAGATTCTAATCATGAGGCTCTAATCACCCTATTTACTGTAGGAAGAGTGTTGTGCCTAAAACGTATAAAATCAACATCAACAATCATATTCGCATCGGCCAAGTCTTAACTAAAGTGGCATAAAAAAAATGAAATGAGATGCAATATAAGTAAAAATACAATTTGACATTGCAAAATGATATATGGCTTTGTATTTTTATCATAACATATTCACATATAATATTTTCTGGTTCACTAACAAATTTAAAATTTCTTTTGGAGAATGAATGACGTGTGGACAATGAAAAACTCGTGATATTTACTTTCAAACGGACATGCTATCAAACCTGTCCGTGCAAGCTTTGTTTCCATCTGTTTTAATTTCCTCTCAGGGATAACCCAGCTGATTGAGTGTTTATATTTACTCAAGAGAACCAGAGTCTCAGTCTTTTGTCTCCAATGGTGGTAGACGAAAAAAACAATCATACATTGAGTTTTCAGAATTATTTCCCTTAGAATTTTATAATAGTAGTTTACGCAACGATTGCGTTAAGTGAGTCTTTACGACACGAGTAGAAAATTTAAGGCACGAGCCTTGGCGAGTGCCTTAAAAACTTCTACGAGTGTCGTAAAGACTATTAACGCGAGTTGCGTACACTACTTTACCTACGACCGTTTTTTAATTACTATCAATCTGGATTTAATTACTAACAATAACTACTGATAACTTTTTAGAGAGGTTATGTTTTCGTGTATTGTCATTGCCACTGAAAGTGATGCAACGACTTGTTATATAATCAGCTGATTTCCTGTAATTATGTGTTTGTTAAACTTAGTTAAATATTACATTGCTAGCAGCATTCTTACCATAAATAATATTGTATCAGGTACAATTCGGCAAATATTTCATTTATTTTTGGACTTCCACCAACTTAATTAAGAATACGCGAGTATCAACATGAACAAGTCGGATCAACAATTAAATTGGTCAACTGATCAGCTGATCAGCTGATTAGTTGACGTTCGAAGCATTACAATTTTAATTCTTTTCTCTCAATACTTGAACCTCATTGGTCCGTTACCTGTGTGGATATGAGAAAACTATGCGGATATGAAATGAAACTATGCGGATATGAAAGTGAACAGCTGTAAAGTGAAACTTTTCAATTCTAAGAACTGGACTGAAATGGCTACTTTAAAAAACGGTCGTAGGTAAAATGTATTTATAAAACGCTGTAAATAAAACATGTGATTGTAATTTATTCCATTTTTCTCATTTTCTGTTTATATTTTGTTGTTATTTCGTCACCAACATGGCAACCCATAAGGCCAATATTATAATTTTATTTTTATTTTAAACCAGTTGTGTCTACATTTTTAACATTATTTATCCATTGCCAAAGTCAAAGATTACGTTCGAAGATAAATACGTTTTGGAATAAAATATGATAAAATAACATTTTATTTCATATGTTATAATCTCTAATGTGTTAATATATAATATTATTTCTCATTAAAGTATGAAGCACCTATATGATGCCCAATTTAGGCAAATATCGTTTGCCCAATATGGGTCGAACCGCGACTCATGTGGCTTGATACGATAAAATAAAATCAGAGAGTATTCACAGTTGAATAATCAATTGTGGTATCCTTTTTATTAAATTAGCAAAGACAAATATTTGTTTACATCAATTAAAATGTAATGGCTACTAGTTAAAGTACCAACATTATTAATTCTTTTGCTATGTCTTAATTTAACTCACATACTTATTTTAATTCTTAAAAGTTTTTTTATATATTTATTTATAGAAACTAATAAAATGCGCAACACATTGCAACACGCAACAATTATCATGAATGTGTTAATAATAACATTTAACAACAAAATGTAATATATGATAAAACGTTACAGATTGTATTGAAAAAGCAAGTAAATCAATATATGTTTTATTTTTTGCGATACAATTTCATTAAAAGTTTAAATCTACTTTACCCATCCGATGAGAGTCAAGTGATGAGTAAAAATATAGTTAACTTACAGTAGCATAGTAAATTGAGAAAATCCATGGCTTTAAGTATCCATAATTGATTAAACATTCCATAAAAACACTATTGACATAATTTATAGTTTCGTAAAAGTTATACTTTATTGTTGGCTTGATAAATCTTTCGTCACATACATATAATTTTCATCCTGTTTGCAATGAAAAGAGACGGTGTAAAACTCGTAAGACAATTAAAACTGTATTAGTCGTAATATATTATTTTCTCTCCACAAGTTTGATTACACATGCAGTTTGAAGCCAAATGAACGTACGACGTTGCAGCGACACAAATACTTCCCTTGAGAGGAATTCTCAGTCTCCAGGTGTTATATTAAAATATGGAAATCCGACGATATCTTCAACTCTGAGAACCCACTTTACAATTGAATGCAAAACTCTATTGCCGATATTTTACGTGCAGCATCAGTAAAATTATATTAACAGTTTTTGGTGGAGTCTGGTGTAAAATCTTGGATTAAATCTTAATGCAAATCATCTCTGTGTTTTCTTAGTGTTGAACATTGTGTAAATGTAGTGCTTATATAGTTTTACACTGTGTCAGAGGTAACATTTAAGTTTCGAAATTAGTTTGTATTACGTTGATTGTTTTAATTTTTGTGAGCTCTAATAGATAGTTAGAAGGCAAATTAATTTATTCGATCCTTTAAACCCTGATAATCAGTGAGCTAAATCTATTTATACCCAAGTAGACATTAACTATACTATACACAGATTTTAATTCAGATCAAATGTTTAACTCTGTATAAATTTTTTGTGAGGGCTCAATTATATTGATGACCTAACCTAACAAAATAGATAGTTCGCTAGAGACATGCACGCTAGTAGGACCATTTAGGTTGACGAACAATGCATTGGGGCCTTTAACACATGATGTGGTTCCACAAATAAATGTCCTGCACAAGTACAGATCTGCGTATACGCCTTCAAAACCGTTTTGATGAATATGCGATGAAATATTACGATGCACGAACTTGGGAGTCAATTCTATTTTATAATTGAACCTTGAAGGTTTCAGCTGTGTTTTAGGTCTGTACTTGGCGTCTGTCATTATGTATGAACTAAGGTAACTTGGATTACTCGTTGAAATTTGTAAGTCTTGTGAAATTCTAATTAAATATTTCATGGTCATCTTGTGACTATATGATGCAATTTGGTACGAATGTGTACTACGTTTCTTTGAACGAGTTCACAAACCAGCATGATCGGACCACTTTTCTCTCAAGGCAATTGTAGAGCTTTAAAAGACAAATAACTCAGTATCATGAAGTGTTTTTATACGGTTATTGGTCAAAGAAAAAATTTTCAATATAAAAATTCCCATGCTTATGGAGATTAAGTAAACTCTTGTAGTGTAGGCCTACTTAGTACTGTATATATGTTGATCAACGTTGGCAAATTTTACCAAAACACACTTTACAGGGAGCAGAAAACACTTTACACTCTACCCTGTAGCAGATAACCTCAGCTCTTGTTAAACCTAATGTTATTTAATTCAATAGATTTAATTGAAAATCTTATCAGGAAATGGAATACCGCTTAATCCGAGAGGCTTGCTGTGGCGGTGGTATCATATTTTATCCCGTATTCATGGTGAGGGATGGCTCTAAAATTATCAACGAGCTGATTTAGCTGAATCACAAAGCATATAGTTCAACTCTTCGCGCTGAGAGGAAAATATTATAGTATCAAAAATAAATAATTGTGTTAGTACGACAATAAAGGAACGCATCATGTTATTTACAAGAAACTGTGTAGTAGAACCAATGACTATTGGATACTAAGGATACTAAAGTAGAAATCCCATCTATATGGACCAGCTGTCACCAATTATTTATTAAAGATAACCTAGTTGTGTGAGCCAGTCACAGAATGCGCTGTTGTCTATAATTCTATTTTATACCTTTTTTTTCTTGCAGGTTGATGAATCATAACAGTTGGTATTGCTCACCATTCCCTAAGTTTGACTTGGTAAAAAAGTTGGTGTATTCGACAGAATTTAGTAATTTAGATCAGCACAATCTGTAGGTGGCTCATAACAACTACGACGATTTTGATGAAAAATCTGGCTACAAATTTAACATGGGGATGGAATGTCTACAACTACTATACAGTTTCCCCAAACAGATATATTTTTATTTGACTGGTCTGTTGCAGGTATAGCGTTCCAACCTGAGTTTGCAGAGCCACTGGAGAACCTGACAGTTGCAGTAGGGAGAGACGCCACCTTCAGGTGCACAGTACAGCACCTGGGCGGATACAGGGTCAGTGGCGTTAAACATTGGGTTTATCATGAAACTACCTATTTTGTGAAAACGATCATTTCAAATGATATATTTCCCCAACAAATAAGATAGGTGTAAAATCCTATTTAACGTAGTTTGAGTATTGAAAAAAAGGAATATTAGTTAGTAGAAAAATAATTAGTCCTAGTTATATTTACAAGCTATGCTAAAACATGAAATTATTTTGTAACAAAATGTGCAATATTAGTTTTCTAAAAGAGGAATTTAAATTGTCATAATGTAAGTCTTTTAACATGTTCGCTGTGGGTCACTCAGTGCTCTAGTTCCTTTCAGCCACCCTGAACGCTGTCCCATGAGTGGCGACATCGCCTACATTTCATTTAAGAGCAATAAACATTACCGTTATTTATTTCTGAAGAAGTTAACTTAAAATATTAGGAAATTTCCTGATAAACAAATTCTGATGAGAGAATAAACCTCGTTTAACTCAGTTAAGGAGCATATAAAATGTGATGACTCCGTAATATTGAGATTTCTTGCTTCCAGCACATATTGTAATCTATAGTAAATCTATTAGTATTCATCAGCCACAAATTTTGACTTCAGGTTGGCTGGGTGAAGGCTGACACGAAAGCGATACAAGCAATCCACGATCACGTGATCACTCACAACCCTCGTGTGTCTGTGAGTCACTCAGATCACTCCACGTGGAACCTACATGTCCGCAGTGTACAGGAGGAGGACAGAGGACAGTACATGTGTCAGATCAACACGGACCCTATGAAGAGTCAGGTAGGTGATCACTCAAAAAACTCGTGTGTCTGTGAGTCACCCAGATCACTCCACATGGAACCTACATGTCCGCAGTGTACAGGAGGAGGACAGAGGACAGTACATGTGTCAGATCAACACGGACCCCATGAAGAGTCAGGTAGGTGATCACTCAAAAACCTCGTGTGTCTGTGAGTCACTCAGATCACTCCACGTGGAACCTACATGTCCGCAGTGTACAGGAGGAGGACAGAGGACAATACATGTGTCAGATCAACACGGACCCCATGAAGAGTCAGGTAGGTGATCACTCAAAAACCTCGTGTGTCTGTGAGTCACCCAGATCACTCCACGTGGAACCTACATGTCCGCAGTGTACAGGAGGAGGACAGAGGACAGTACATGTGTCAGATCAACACGGACCCCATGAAGAGTCAGGTAGGTGATCACTCAAAAACCTCGTGTGTCTGTGAGTCACTCAGATCACTCCACGTGGAACCTACATGTCCGCAGTGTACAGGAGGAGGACAGAGGACAATACATGTGTTCAGATCAACAAGGACCCCATGAAGAGTCAGGTAGGTGATCACTCACAACCCACGTGTCTGTGAGTCACCCAGATCACTCCACGTGGAACCTACATGTCCGCAGTGTACAGGAGGAGGACAGAGGACAATACATGTGTTCAGATCAACACGGACCCCATGAAGAGTCAGGTAGGTGATCACTCACAACCCACGTGTCTGTGAGTCACCCAGATCACTCCACGTGGAACCTACATGTCCGCAGTGTACAGGAGGAGGACAGAGGACAATACATGTGTCAGATCAACACGGACCCCATGAAGAGTCAGGTAGGTGATCACTCACAACCCACGTGTCTGTGAGTCACTCAGATCACTCCACGTGGAACCTACATGTCCGCAGTGTACAGGAGGAGGACAGAGGACAATACATGTGTCAGATCAACACGGACCCCATGAAGAGTCAGGTAGGTGATCACTCACAACCCACGTGTCTGTGAGTCACTCAGATCACTCCACGTGGAACCTACATGTCCGCAGTGTACAGGAGGAGGACAGAGGACAATACATGTGTTCAGATCAACACGGACCCCATGAAGAGTCAGGTAGGTGATCACTCACAACCCACGTGTCTGTGAGTCACCCAGATCACTCCACGTGGAACCTACATGTCCGCAGTGTACAGGAGGAGGACAGAGGACAATACATGTGTCAGATCAACACTGACCCCATGAAGAGTCAGGTAGGTGATCACTCAAAAACCTCGTGTGTCTGTGAGTCAATCAGATCACTCCACGTGGAACCTACATGTCCGCAGTGTACAGGAGGAGGACAGAGGACAATACATGTGTCAGATCAACACGGACCCCATGAAGAGTCAGGTAGGTGATCACTCACAACCCACTTGTCTGTGAGTCACTCAGATCACTCCACGTGGAACCTACATGTCCGCAGTGTACAGGAGGAGGACAGAGGACAATACATGTGACAGATCAACACGGACCCCATGAAGAGTCAGGTAGGTGATCACTCAAAAACCTCGTGTGTCTGTGAGTCACTCAGATCACTCCACGTGGAACCTACATGTCCGCAGTGTACAGGAGGAGGACAGAGGACAATACATGTGTCAGATCAACACGGACCCCATGAAGAGTCAGGTAGGTGATCACTCACAACCCACGTGTCTGTGAGTCACTCAGATCACTCCACGTGGAACCTACATGTCCGCAGTGTACAGGAGGAGGACAGAGGACAATACATGTGTTCAGATCAACACGGACCCCATGAAGAGTCAGGTAGGTGATCACTCACAACCCACGTGTCTGTGAGTCACCCAGATCACTCCACGTGGAACCTACATGTCCGCAGTGTACAGGAGGAGGACAGAGGACAATACATGTGTCAGATCAACACGGACCCCATGAAGAGTCAGGTAGGTGATCACTCACAACCCACGTGTCTGTGAGTCACCCAGATCACTCCACGTGGAACCTACATGTCCGCAGTGTACAGGAGGAGGACAGAGGACAATACATGTGTCAGATCAACACTGACCCCATGAAGAGTCAGGTAGGTGATCACTCAAAAACCTCGTGTGTCTGTGAGTCAATCAGATCACTCCACGTGGAACCTACATGTCCGCAGTGTACAGGAGTAGGACAGAGGACAATACATGTGTCAGATCAACACGGACCCCATGAAGAGTCAGGTAGGTGATCACTCACAACCCACTTGTCTGTGAGTCACTCAGATCACTCCACGTGGAACCTACATGTCCGCAGTGTACAGGAGGAGGACAGAGGACAATACATGTGACAGATCAACACTGACCCCATGAAGAGTCAGGTAGGTGATCACTCAAAAACCTCGTGTGTCTGTGAGTCACTCAGATCACTCCACGTGGAACCTACATGTCCGCAGTGTACAGGAGGAGGACAGAGGACAATACATGTGTCAGATCAACACGGACCCCATGAAGAGTCAGGTAGGTGATCACTCACAACCCACGTGTCTGTGAGTCACTCAGATCACTCCACGTGGATCCTACATGTCCGCAGTGTACAGGAGGAGGACAGAGGACAATACATGTGTCAGATCAACACGGACCCCATGAAGAGTCAGGTAGGTGATCACTCAAAAACCTCGTGTGTCTGTGAGTCACTCAGATCACTCCACGTGGAACCTACATGCCCGCAGTGTACAGGAGGAGGACAGAGGACAATACATGTGTCAGATCAACACGGACCCCATGAAGAGTCAGGTAGGTGATCACTCAAAAACCTCGTGTGTCTGTGAGTCACTCAGATCACTCCACGTGGAACCTACATGTCCGCAGTGTACAGGAGGAGGACAGAGGACAATACATGTGTCAGATCAACACGGACCCCATGAAGAGTCAGGTAGGTGATCACTCAAAAACCTCGTGTGTCTGTGAGTCACTCAGATCACTCCACGTGGAACCTACATGTCCGCAGTGTACAGGAGGAGGACAGAGGACAATACATGTGTCAGATCAACACGGACCCCATGAAGAGTCAGGTAGGTGATCACTCAAAAACCTCGTGTGTCTGTGAGTCACTCAGATCACTCCACGTGGAACCTACATGTCCGCAGTGTACAGGAGGAGGACAGAGGACAATACATGTGTCAGATCAACACGGACCCCATGAAGAGTCAGGTAGGTGATCACTCACAACCCACGTGTCTGTGAGTCACCCAGATCACTCCACGTGGAACCTACATGTCCGCAGTGTACAGGAGGAGGACAGAGGACAATACATGTGTCAGATCAACACGGACCCCATGAAGAGTCAGGTAGGTGATCACTCACAACCCACGTGTCTGTGAGTCACCCAGATCACTCCACGTGGAACCTACATGTCCGCAGTGTACAGGAGGAGGACAGAGGACAATACATGTGTCAGATCAACACTGACCCCATGAAGAGTCAGGTAGGTGATCACTCAAAAACCTCGTGTGTCTGTGAGTCAATCAGATCACTCCACGTGGAACCTACATGTCCGCAGTGTACAGGAGGAGGACAGAGGACAATACATGTGTCAGATCAACACGGACCCCATGAAGAGTCAGGTAGGTGATCACTCACAACCCACTTGTCTGTGAGTCACTCAGATCACTCCACGTGGAACCTACATGTCCGCAGTGTACAGGAGGAGGACAGAGGACAATACATGTGACAGATCAACACGGACCCCATGAAGAGTCAGGTAGGTGATCACTCAAAAACCTCGTGTGTCTGTGAGTCACTCAGATCACTCCACGTGGAACCTACATGTCCGCAGTGTACAGGAGGAGGAAAGAGGACAATACATGTGTCAGATCAACACGGACCCCATGAAGAGTCAGGTAGGTGATCACTCACAACCCACGTGTCTGTGAGTCACTCAGATCACTCCACGTGGATCCTACATGTCCGCAGTGTACAGGAGGAGGACAGAGGACAATACATGTGTCAGATCAACACGGACCCCATGAAGAGTCAGGTAGGTGATCACTCAAAAACCTCGTGTGTCTGTGAGTCACTCAGATCACTCCACGTGGAACCTACATGTCCGCAGTGTACAGGAGGAGGACAGAGGACAATACATGTGTCAAATCAACACGGACCCCATGAAGAGTCAGGTAGGTGATCACTCAAAAACCTCGTGTGTCTGTGAGTCACTCAGATCACTCCACGTGGAACCTACATGCCCGCAGTGTACAGGAGGAGGACAGAGGACAATACATGTGTCAGATCAACACGGACCCCATGAAGAGTCAGGTAGGTGATCACTCAAAAACCTCGTGTGTCTGTGAGTCACTCAGATCACTCCACGTGGAACCTACATGTCCGCAGTGTACAGGAGGAGGACAGAGGACAATACATGTGTCAGATCAACACGGACCCCATGAAGAGTCAGGTAGGTGATCACCCAAAAACCTCGTGTGTCTGTGAGTCACTCAGATCACTCCACGTGGAACCTACATGTCCGCAGTGTACAGGAGGAGGACAGAGGACAATACATGTGTCAGATCAACACGGACCCCATGAAGAGTCAGGTAGGTGATCACTCACAACCCTCGTGTGTCTGTGAGTCACTCAGATCACTCCACGTGGAACCTACATGTCCGCAGTGTACAGGAGGAGGACAGAGGACAATACATGTGTCAGATCAACACGGACCCCATGAAGAGTCAGGTAGGTGATCACTCACAACCCTCGTGTGTCTGTGAGTCACTCAGATCACTCCACGTGGAACCTACATGTCCGCAGTGTACAGGAGGAGGACAGAGGACAATACATGTGTCAGATCAACACGGACCCCATGAAGAGTCAGGTAGGTGATCACTCACAACCCACGTGTGTCTGTGAGTCACACAGATCACTCCACGTGGATTATTCATGTATGGACAGAAGGAGGAATGAGAAGAGGACAGTACTATGACAGACGTTGATTACACTTAACCCACTTGTGGGCACAAATAGTCCTTTTATGGTCAGGTAGATGTTTTGACAAAGTTTACATCCGTTTTTGAAAAGCCCAGAGTTTTCTTACACGAAGCCAATCGGAGAATCAAATTTAAAAAAATACACATCTTCAAAAAATTTCATTATTTTTTTAATAAGATATATCAAGTGTTCTATTATATCCCGATGTAGTTGTTTAAACCTGTTTACTTTTTAAAGATATAATCTTGACTACCTATCACAACACTGTTATTTAATACAATTTCATAATGAAAGTTGCATCAATATTTACCAAAAGGCTCCATATTTTAATTTTACCACAGTACATTTTGTTATAAATCCCTATGTGAAGATACCATTAGCTTTACTTCACATGTGATCTTAATTCTTGGTGAAATTAGCGCTGCAAATTTTAATTTCACTTTCGATGAATGTTGGCCCAGACAAACCAGAATCACATATTCAATTCTTTTCACCACAGGAGACAAAATATGAGGACAAAGGGGAGTTTATTTCTCTGTTTGGTGACTCGCGCTGTCAAAGAAATCACCAGATTTCCATATTTTAATATCGCAGCTGCTAACTCCCGCAATGTTTCAATGCCTCTTCTTGACAGTTCATTGAAATTTATCAAAATCTCGAGAACCAGTAGATTGAATTATTTTAGCTTTCTCCCGTCCAAGTGTTTAAAGCTGTGTGTGTATTTTACTAAAAACGTGTAAATGTGGTCACATAAAAAAGTATTATCATGATCAAATAAAAAAAATATTTTATAAATTGAATATCTAATGCAAATATTTAATGTAATCCTGATATCAATTTCAAATATTCAATCGCGTTTTAGCTATATACTATATGAGTTTTTACATCGAGAAAAATTCCGAAATGAATCATTGGTTCAACCATGTTTATTGGTTACCTAATGACTCTATTGTTGGTAATGACTATTTGGGTTGTCATTGGGAGGGTATTATGTGCATGAGCCACTCTAACCTACAAAATCCACACAAAACATTATATAGATTCAGTAAACCTAAAAATAGTATGAATACAAACCTTAGACATGACAAATATGTTAAACATCAGGCCTGACTGTTTCTAAGCCTGTCTAACATGAGTATCGTTGACAGATGGGGCACCTGGATGTAGTGGTTCCGCCAGACTTTGTCAACGAGGAGACCTCCAGCGACGTCATGGTGCCTGAGGGAGGAACTGCCAAGTTGACGTGCAAAGCCCGAGGATATCCAACACCGCACGTTACCTGGAGAAGAGAAGACAACGGCGAGATCGTCGTCAAAGAGGCTGGAGGAAAAACCAAAGGTACGTTACAAACTTCAAGTATTAATTTCTGATCGGTGTAAGTAATTATATTGACCACGAATGAATGGGCGGGAAGTAAAGAAACTAATCAGTCATCAAACAGTACATACTATGTTTTATATCAAAGTGAAAATATATGTTATACATGTTTTTACCACAGTTTATCAAAAAAGTCATCAAGGAAATATATAACCATATTTTCTTTTGAAAATATTATACGTGAATAAATCATTTTACAACAACACAAATTTAAGCTCTATTTAGTTTGAAACAAATTCAATTAAACATTACACAAAAGTTTGTTTAAAGTTAAGAAATAATTATATAATTAAGTGACACAAGAACCATAGAGTTTGGGGAGCCTTATGTGTTCCAACTGGTAAAAAACGCATCTGTAGAGTATTTTGCCTTGTGACATGGACATTGATAAAACTAATTTACATAAAAAGCTCCAAAATCCAGCGGTTTACATTGGACGAGGTGGTGAAGAACCACCATATCTGCGTTCTCTCCCCGTGGCGAGGCACGGTCAGACTAGTAACATGCAACAAGTAAAACATAATATAGAAGTAAATTACTAATAGACCCATCAATGTTTTTAACATTTTCACAAATAATAAATTAAAATCACCTTACAAAACATGCACGAGAACGTTCTTACTGTTTAATATAGTGAAAGTGATTCATAATTTACGTAAATTGAAGTTTTTACACAACTTTTTCGTGTATAACACTTTGTTTTTTACGTTTTGGAAAAGTCCTTTTTATAAAGCCAGTTAAACTTAGTGTTAGCTGTTCATTTCTCCACATTCAGAACAACATTGGTGTATCATTGTGACGCCATTCCTATTTACAGTGACGTCATACCAAGGGGAGGTGCTGAAGCTGCCCAAGATCACGAGGGGTGAGATGGGTGCCTACCTGTGTATAGCCTCTAACGGCATCCCACCCTCTGTAAGCAAGAGAATACTCGTCAACGTGCATTGTGAGTTTTCCTCAAAGCAAAATATTTTTAGCAATTTCATCATGTATCTTTTTATTTTATTTCTTAAAAATCCATAACGTTACTTTCCACCTTTGAACTACTTTAACACTTTATTTCCCTGGCACTTAAAAAATGTCAATTAATTATAAACAGAAAAATGTAAATTTTAGGCGCTAATTAGTATACCATTGGTATACAACTTTAAATTTTTTATGAATTAAAATGTCAACTAACAGACATTTTAAGAATCGCACTTCAAAACTAACTTTTATTAATCGTGTCTACATTATTTTTTATAGACAATATGTTTACATTTGAAAAGATTAAAATCTGGACTACCCTCAACAGTTACATGTTTTAAAAAAGTCAACTTTGTATACGATTTAGAAAATATACAATGTGTCCAAAAACATTTCAGAACTTAGGGAAATGATTTCTTATACCAAAAGAAAGAAAAAAGTGATATGAAGGCGTGTGTCCGAAAATGAATATTTACCCAACTATCCCCCAATTAATTCTTTTACACATAAAAGATCTTTGCTAGGAAAACATTAAAATGGTTCAAAATTAAATTTGAAAATGGTGGTAATTTTAATTTTTTTAACCTACTACTAATAACTTTCTAATTTTATGACAAAATGTTAAGAACACTTTTTATTTCGAATTTGATATTCCCTATCAAACAACATCAAGATCAAAACTATCAAATAACTAATAGCTGAAATATCTCAGTTTAAGTTTTAAAATAAGGCTAAACTATAGTAGGTAGTCATAGTGCACCAGTTTTCATTTACGAAGATCACTTTAGAGGTGGTAAAATAATTAGTATACTTGAAGAGCCGTTGTTTCCCTTTTCCAGTCCATCCAGTGATTCAGGTGCCCAATCAGCTGGTAGGAGCTCCTACGGCCACTGACGTCACTCTAGAGTGCTATGTGGAAGCATCGCCAAAGTCCATCAACTACTGGGTGCGCGACTCTGGTAAGACATAGCAAATACTCGCACGTCCAAATTAGATTAATTATGCTTAAAACGTACATATATTTATGTTAGGGGGTTCAAAGTCATGAAATAATTAACATGAAATAATAATAGGTTTCTTTGTAAATTGTTCCATGGACTTATCAACACACTGTACCATAGACTTTCATAGACTTCTCATCCCATTGTAAAATTCGAAGGTTGTTTTTTGTGTCTAGTTCATGGTTGGACACTGGGTGCTGGTGTTGATGACATTTTGGTTCTATTATTTTAGAGTAAATTTTATGATTTCCGCTTCCTAGGTTATATAACTAGATGACGAGGTTGTTGTTTATGATCTCATAGTTTGATTAGGTTAAACGAGGTTTTAAATAACTAGAATCAACTTTTTTTTTAAACACGACCCTAGCGGCAAAGGACAGAACTAACGATATTTGTCTTCGGCTAATACCTAAGGATACATGTACCAGGTATTTTACTCTGTTATTTGTCACACTATTGTTTTTTAAATAACAAAGGCTTCTGGAGGATATCAATATCATGCTATTTTCAACTGTTAATTAATTGTTTTGCTACACAATATATAGTCCGATTGAAACTGTTTGCTAGAAAGTAAGGATATCTCTACACATACAACTACGGTAACTAGCGGAAACTTACAGTTGATAAATGCGTGTAGAGTGTATAAAACACCAACTAATGAACGTAACGACATCAACCCCACAAATATAAACATATTATAACAAACATCAAAATCCTGTTTAAAGTTACCTTGACAAGGTTTTCTCATTCTACCTTGATAAGTGCTACTGTACTTATTGAATGTAAATAAAAATTCGTCGAATAACACACATGAATTTACACTTAAATACAAATCAGTAAATGTATACTTAAGACCTAGGCGATGATCAATTTCGATTGGACACTCCAGTCATCTACCGGCCGGATTTTTTATGAACAACTTTTTTATACCAACGTGAACCAATTAAATTGTAGAAGTAAAAGAAAGTGGGCAGATTCCACACCAGGTTCCGCTGGCGACGAGATTCTTGGCCAAGTTTGGGGGCGACAGCTCAAATTAACTGCGACTCCAAGTTGAATATTTACGCTATGCAAATGAGCCGTTATTGTGCGATATTATTGCGCGCTGTTTGCCGGAGCTTTACTTTTAACGGATTTCATTTGCACATTTGAAATATTATCCCGGCGTGCCAGGTTTGGTGGAAGGAGCGACGAAAACGTCTTTGGAAAAGGATTCCAGTCGTACCGAACATTGATGGAGAACTCAAGGGGTGTTTTTGTAAATTTCAATCATATATTTTTATCTATATAGTGTTATTGAGCTGTTGACACAGCCGCATGTTTGTCCATACTCTTTTTCATCTTTCGGTTGAAAAAGAACATGAAGGACATAAAAAACATAATTCCATGAATTGTGCTTACAGACACAATATATTAATTTGAACGGATGGTTTTTTTTGCCTCTGGGGACCTCAAAACTGAAAAGTAAATCGGTACCGGGCCTAGGTTCTACCATGAGACCAACGGAAATAGCTTACTTCCTTTATGGGAAATTCGCTAATTGAACTATATAAATTACTTATTCATTAGTTCTAGGTTGAAAAAAAATGTAAAAACCTATGTTTTACCTTATGAATCAACTTAATTACCTTATAAATACCTTGAATACCTTGATTGAATACCTTTTTACCTTATAAATACAGTTAATAACAGCGTATTAATCAGAGAAAAAGTGTTTTTTTGTAGACATAGTTTTTTATGACAGTTAATTTACTAGGCTATCTAGATAAAAAATTTGTTTAATATTTAGATCGGTCTGTTGTAGTTGTACGTGTTTCAGGAGAGATGGTGATTTCGAGTGAGAAATACGAAGTTCAGAGTGTCACAAAGTCTTTGTTCGAGGTGAAAATGATCCTCATCATTCGTGGATTCAATAAACCGGTTGGTTTATATTGTATAATTGTTTATATTAACCACCTTGTATAATTTTCCAAAAGTCATACTATGTACGTATCTTCATCTTGTGATTCAGATATTTTCCCAAATAAAATTTTAGAATGTTGTTTAGTTTGTAATTTAAACATAAAATTATTCTTATTTAAAAAAAAGTAAAATTTTCTAATAATCAAAGTCAACTATTTTGTCATTTTACAGGATGTTGGTTCATACCGATGCATTGCCAAAAACTCATTAGGAGAAGTGGAGAGCAATATCAGGCTATATGGTACGTATCGTCATTTAGAAATATTGTACTGAATTTGTAAAGTTTGTCATTTACTAATGGTGCCAAAAGTACCTCGAAAGCTGAATGTTGTAAAAAAATGTTCCCATCGCTATAAACGTTTAAAACAATGTTGATAAAACTATAAAAAGGAAGTCAAAATAATTACTAAGGATGATGGTATACCTAATAAAATATTGGTTTACAGTACTAAGAGATCAACTAGATATTTGATATTTTAAAATGTGCCAAAATCAAATCGCTTATATTCTCGTTACACTCTATACTATAGCTTTATTACCACAATATTGAAAAAAAAAACATGTATTATCAGTTTAGAAGGGTGGCAAGACTGAATCAGCTGCTAGTTTACCGGATGTAGAAGACATATCCGGTAGCGGCCGAAGTCAGCAGAGATAACCTTATTGTTCATTGCACCAGTCTACATCCGGTACTGATAACCAACCTCAAGCCTTGATGACTGTTGATGACCTTTATCAGTAATTTACTCATATCTGGGTCAAAATGCTTCAGTCTATTGGCCCTTTCTGAAGGATTTCGAAATTTGTATAGTTATTTCTTTTTCAAATCTTATTATTGATACCCATGTGACGTTTAGACTATAATAGAGGCAAGAACACATAAGATATGGAAATTGGGCTCACACTTTGTCGTTCACAAATATTAATTACCCACAGTCACCCGACAAAGGTTTCCTTGCACAGATTATAGTACAGAAAGCCTTACTTTGGCGCACAGTTTTTATTTTGGTGCTCACCAGTATTCCAACCAATCAGCGTGCTTTGATTATGCACGTAATCCGTGTAGGCTACGCTTGAAAATAAGTTGCCAACACATACGACTATGATCAGCTGGTGCAGCGTTTCCCATTTCGTTTAATGTTTGAATTCCTAACCTAAAAACGTGTTGTACAGTGTTTGAAAGGCTAATTACTTTTATGCTTTATAGTAACTGAATGTGTAACATGAGTGGAAACTGCCTTTTTTGCCCCTTCGCCCATTAGTTACACAAATAACTATTTTCGACGTGTTAATATAGCAATGTGGTTTTTGGAGCCCACATCAACGCTCGTTAGGTTAGCGAGGACGAAAATAGCCGTAATATATTACTCCTGTATATAAAAACTTGTCACCATCCCGACCATTTGTGACAAGTAAATCATTGTATTGACCTAATACTAATTAAGTTTAGACCAAAAATACGAGAATAGAAATGGTAAGGATAATTATCATAAACAAAAAAAAAAAAACTTCAGTGGCTTGAATCTTAAAATTATGACAAAGGCGGTTTTAGACAGTTCCCCCAGAATAATAAAACAAACATATTTCGATAATAATGCAAACATGTTTAGTTTCGGGCCAGTGACGTCATTTGTGTTATTATCCATACAGTTTCGGATCTTATATTCGTGGGTTGGACGTATTATGAATATTTGAAAGAAATTTACACCGCAATGACTATCATTTACTCTTTAATCTCGAATTGTCTTTGTGTAAAAAAGATTACCATCGAAATCTGGAAAAACTGCATAGTTCCCACCAAATATGTTTTTGATTACTGTGGTATATTTTAATGACCATCGTAGGATTAATAATTAATAATCGTAGGATTAATTATTGGTTTTACATTTTATGTGTTGTTAACCCAAACCAATGCATATTCCCATTAACGGTAATTCAATATACGGTTTTGTTACCCCTGGGGTTTTTATTAGTGTGAAGTGTGTTACGTATTCTACTGACTTATTCCCTGTCATTCAGAAATCCCCGGACCCACGCGGAAGGTGTACCAAGGACCTCCTGACGACGAGGAGGATCAGAATTACGAGGTGTACGGCTCAGCCGAGGAAGAGGGTCAAGACGAAATATCAAACTCAGTACAGGTAAACATTTCAATTCTTCTATCTATAGAAGATTGCTATTTAAAAAATTTTTTTGGGGGGGGGAGTGAGGGGGTAGGTTTCACAACGAACAACTGTGAGAAAAATCATGCACACAGAAAAATGGGTATTGAAGAATTCCTGGAAAGCCATAGAACTTTCGAGAGATGTGTGCATCCATCTCACTTATTGACGACCAAAAGACTTTTGACCAAAAGACCATTTGACTTATTGACCAAAAGCACTGTGAGCCTACTTGGATTATCAAATTCCACTCTGCTCCTACCCTTCACACATACTTGGGGGGATGGGGAATACTATCCCCGGAAAACTACCCCCCAGGTGAAACGTGACGTCACAAAATCTGCCAACTAACCAATATGGAAGCTGTGTCCGCGGCTGGAATACTACCCCCCCCCCCCCTAGACAAATCATGCTATGTAATTTTAATTTTAATTCGAGTAACTCCGTTGGATAATAGAAAAGGCATGTGGTGAATATAAAACAGATTTTCGAAATGCAAGTTTGGTTGGTTAGGTTAGGTCAGATTAGAACTGTTTGACAACTAAATTTGAGTGTCCGTGACTGGAAAACTGCCCCCCGGTCTCTGACGTCAATATGACGTAGGACCCTGCTTGGGGGGGTAGTTTTCCGGGGGGCAGTCTTCCGGCGACCCATACTTGGGTTAAAAACGCACCTAGATGGCGTCCCCATCTAAATTGGTATTCGTATTTATCCACTTTATAAAATAGCCAAACTGGAATAGCGACATACTGTCAGTTTTACTACATTTTTCACATTAATTGTCAAAGTATCGTAAAACAAAACAGGAAATATAATTTTTACCCAGCAAATTTGTAAATTAAACAATAAACTACTCTCTATTTGAATAGAAAATGGCTGGTTCATATGGATGGAATATCTACCCTAGTACATTAGGAATTAAGGCCTTCTTGGCCACCATCACTAACACTAAGTACTAGGTCTTCTTGGTTCGACCGTGTCAGAATACTAAAGTGACAGGCACTAACTGGTGTAGCCTACGCTGCCAATCACAGGCTTAGTGCCTGTCACCACCTTTTAATATGGCTATCTGCAACAAAGCCCAACGTTAGCAACTAGTATTTCTTCTAGTATTCCGACGCGGACGTACCTAGAAGACTTCCTTAGTGTTATCTGCCCTAGTATTCAAAATGTAATGGTCTATTTAGTATTAATAGTCTATTATCTCCAGGTTGTAGCAGGTTGGGGGGACACTCCTACTTCATCAGGAGTTCCCTCAAAAGGAACCTTCAACACTGTACAAGTGTTAGACGGTGCAGCGCCCAGCAGTGCTTCACGGCATGCAGGCACTCTAAACACGATACTCGCTGCAATATATAAAACCCGATTAAGCATTAGAACACAAGCAATCAGTATCTTCAATACATCTTCTTTGTGGAAATTAAATGTGTTTTTTGTCAAAACTCTTTATTTCCCTGTAACTATTTGCACGAATCTTTTACTCTCGATTTGTTTTCCAACTCAGACACCGTTCAGTCTCTGACATGAAGTCCGTTTAAGATCACACATGTTTGCTCCTTAGTCTCCGGTGATTGCAATAGACTTTAAGAGACTGAGTATTGTTGTTAGTGTAAATTGTTAGAGTTGTAAACTTTGTTTGAGGAAAAGTTCTATAAAAACTGTTTATTTTATTAACTCATAATTGCGCTTATAGTGAATTGTATCCAATTAACAAAAGTATTTTGAGATTCAATTAAAGTTGTACTCTTCAATAAACTAGTACATTATTGAATCATGTTTTAACAATATTGATGGGAATAAATCACAATAAATAAATGATGTTGTACCTATTTCAAATAATATAACTCTATAGTAACCTATCGGTTAAGCGATAGAAAATAAACGTGGTTTAAAATTATCATTATAAAAATGGTTTTCTTTTTGTTATTAGTAATTCTTACTAATAAGAAGTAAGAGTTAAGAAAGTAGACGTATTCTCTGAAATTTAAATAAGAATGACATATGTTTCATACGGTTCTTTTTGCACATTACACTATTCAGACATTTAGTTTTTTAGACCTTTAAAAAGGCCGATTTTTGTTTAAGGAAACATAAAAAAGTAAAAATACAAGTACAACAACAATTTTTAGTTTTTTCAACGTTTAATGTAATTGAAAGTATTAATACAATTATTAATATTTATTAATACAATTTAGCAATTATGCCAACAAAAAAAAGTTTGTTATCAATACACACCTGCATAAACCTTTCAGCTTGCCCCTTACCTCATGAGCTTTAACTCCGTAATTACTTTTTGTATTTTCGTATCTTTCTGCAATCCAATAAATGAGCAATACATCAACAAAATCAAAATCCAAATAGTGAAAACTAATAAATATTCCGGTTCAACATACACATTTTAGGTGTTAAATATGTAAGAAATAACTAAATTCTGAGTTAAACACTATCACAAAAATCCATTTTAATTCATAATCAAAACAAAAACAATCCATTGTAAACAAGAGTATTTTTAACATGCGATTTGATACATTAAGCAACATTAATTGACACAAATGATTTTATATAGTATGTATCAGTACGCTACAATGTTTTATGGTTACCCAGAATGGCAAACAATTACATTCCTTGTAGAATGCATTTAGACATAATGTAAGATTTAAGTACAACTGAGCATAGCAATGAAACTAAGCTATTTGCAAACTCAAAAGCTACATTAAACATTTTTTAAGCAATTGTTTCTGATCAAATAATGTCTGGATATCATATAACAAATTTATAACGTAGCTTTTATATGGGATCTGTACATAATCGTTTGTAAGTAAATGTAGTTTTAGTAAGGTGCAAAGTATGATTTCACTTGTTACAATAGCTGATGTAAATATAAAGTTGTGTGCCTAATGTAATGTTACATTTGACAAAATATCAACCTATAAATAGACAAACGCTTATGTAAATACTATCCAATCGTTAGAGCAGTGTGTCAAGTGCGTTGACAATAATATGCTTATTTCGTTTATTTAAAATGTATAAATAACATATTCTTTTGATTCATCTTGCTACGCTGTATTCATGGAAACCAGTTATTGTAATAATTACGTAAAAAATTTGAAGGTCGTACGTTTTTGTAAGTCGTTATGCATTTATTTATTAACAACTGTAACATAGGAAACGAAATATTTCAAAATACCTAAAAACTGCTATTTACTATCACTTTTGCTAATCTCAATAAGTATTGACTTTCCCCAAGAATGTTTACATGTATTCATAGTAAACCAGAACAGATGTAAAACTTTTACTCCCTTGAGATTGATATAGCAGCCCATCTCAGCTTGTAGGACCATTGTACATTCCCCAAGTGTAACCTAAAATACAGGAACCTGATGTGATGTATAATCATTTAAGTTGTACAATTGTTTAGTAGGCTGTGGAAATTGTTAAGTTGTGTAAACGGTTACGTTTATAAGTTTAGGAGAAGTTTAGAAAATATTTTAAACTAGTAAACTATATTGTAAAAAGTTGAATAAATTAGTTGTTCTATTTGTAAATGTGTTTCTGTAGTACCAAGTCCAAAGGGTGATGACGTTTTCAATGAACGAAATCAGTACGAAATATTTTATTTTATTGAATAAAGGTTCGTTGTTGGTTTCATACTCAACCCTCTATTATTTTATTATAATAATACAATTCACCTTCGTACTGTACCGGCTTACCCCTTGCTTTGCTGGATACGTTCCACGCACAGATCTGTAGTCTATGTGGACGGGCAAATCAAGGTTAAAAGAGGCCGCCAACCTCTAAAAAAAATCACTAAGCATATTATGCTGTACGGCAAAGGTGATTAATTTTAAATCACTCATTGTTAAATTTTCGTTTATCATCAATAAATGCCACTTCATTTAGGATCTAAATGTAAGGTAATATTGTAAAAGAGTCTAACAAGGATTCCAGCAAATATTAAATTGAAGACATCTTATCACCATTGATATAAAAAAAGAAGACAAAATTTAATTCTTAAAAACCTATTTACAACCCTTCTTTTTAATTAATCTAATGTTATAACTATAACTTCTAATTCTAAACCGCTTGGATGCAATAGGTTTTGGCAATACAATTTTAATTTCCAAATCGTTTTTAAATTGAAATGGTAGATTTTCCTTGTTGAAATTTATTCAGGTATACAAAGGGAATGTCGTGAAATACATTTTTTGTTCCAAATTTCAGTGCCAAGGCAGAGTGAGATAAGGCGGGGGCAGACGACATCCCGGGGGACAGCTTCGCACCTCATTGCCTTTTTTATCTCTTTCATCTTCATCACATTCCCTTATACTTGTATGGCAAAAATTATCATCTTTTCCACATAAACTGTTTAAATGGGCATTAATTTTATTTTACTATTGGTATTACACTAATGTGTATATGTAGTAAGCAGATCAATACACGAATTGCAAATTCTTCTAGATAAATTGTACAGCATTCAAAAAAGTGTGAGATTTGGCAATTTAAATTGTCAAAAAGGTAATACTAGCTTCACTGTAAGTTCATAGAAGCTGCTTACGCTGTCAGAATATAGTTCAAAAATGCCTCAACTCAATAAATATTTAAATAACACCATTTAAATCAAATGTGAACTACAAAACTCAGCAACACAGATGCACTGCATAGTAAACTTAAAAATTGAATGTAAAATTACAAATACAGTATTAAAATATCTTTTCTCACAGAACCTCTGAACTGTACTACAATGACATGAAAAGAGTTCGTCTAAAGCAATATTCGTCAACAAATATTCGTCAATTAATAAAAATACCAATTTTTGGAGTTTGATTAATCGTAAAAATTGCAATCTATAAGATTAATAGTTTGCTAAATGTATGTGTTATATTAAATTAAAAACCTTTATTTCTTATAAATCAATAATCTAAGGAACTCAAGTATAATGTTTTAGTCTATAAATCTGTAATAAGCATACTTTTATCAACCGAACTTCATCGTACAACTAACCTTTGCAAACATGAGTTGACTCTGTAAAATTTATACTTAGAACAAAGTAAATCAAAATATTTGAGTTTTAACTGCATTTACTGTCTTCACAGTTAACTACTGTACAGATAATGTACACTAGAAGGTAAAGGGAGAAGTTTGTCCAAGTTAACTTTACAGACCACAGACCGTCTTATCTTGACTTGGCTGACGATGTGGGCCCCATTGTGTCTTTGGCTCGCTCCACAACTCTCTGCTACATCTTCTTTTATTATTTATGATACTGTTCCACATGGTCATTACGATTGATGCAAAACTAATTTATTAAAAGATAGTCTAACACAGATAAACATGTTCTAAATTACTGTCTTTTGCTTCGAAATGTTGTATTGCTTACATTTATCTATGAGGGATAATTCACTTAAGGCGCGCTTATTGTTATTATTTTAAAATATCCCGATGGAAATGTTAAACTCACTCGGCCAAAATTAAATAGTTATTAAGTTGGGTTTTGTTTAAATGACTATAAAAATAGTTCAAAACATATCTAACAAATAGTTGCAAAAATTTTTATTTAAACTGCTACTCTAGATAAAATACTGACTGTAACTGACTATTTGATTTTCGTGCCTAGGACGGGACCACAGCTAGTTTAACTAAAGTATAGCATTATGGTCACCCATATTGGCACACTATTAAAAGCCTTTGATGAAAAGAGAGGGTTGTTTTAGTATTGAAACACTTCGAATTCAAATTAGCTACAATCATATAACGAACTACCATTTGTGAGCTTAATTTACATTTCACTCAAAAACAAATCGTGTTTTTTTTTCATAAACATGGACAGTTTCCAGTCTTTGAAAAACATATTTTAGAAGATTTATTTTAAACATGAAATATATTGAAACAGTTACAACGTATTTATTTAACTATCCTTCAAGTAAGCAATCTTTAGAAAATGTTTCGATTGCATTATTATAGTATTATATAAAAACTCTATTGATTTATAACACAAAATATCTATAATACTCAATATTATACTTACATTTTTTACTAAACAACATAGATTGAGCTACGCGATTTTGTTAAAATAGACTCTCTAAAATGTGTTAATAATTATTTTTAAACAATACATACCACTGAATATTTTGAATGAAAGTTTTGTGGTGTTGAAGCTCAGATAATGGTTCACCTAGTGAACGATTGGTCTTTGTGAGCTCTCCTTTTTAGCATCACTACCTAAGCTCAGAAGCAGTGGCCACTAATTTAGACATAAAAATATGTATTAGTTACGTATTTTTTACATATTAAACAATCAACTGTATCACCATACAGTACTAACCAATAAAATGGGTAAATAAACAACAAAACTATATTGTATTAAAATAAATCAACCTAATATTAATCGGCCATTGCAAAAACAATTTCAATTGAAACAAAGAACTTCAACTGTGACACAGCTACTGTGTCAGTATGTGTGCGTGTACTGACACAGTACTGTGTCACTAAGTTGTTGGCGTCACATATTTCAACCAATGATTTAGTAGACAGGAGAGCTGTAGCCAATCACTGCAGTTGTGATACCGAGTGACCAACATGGTTGTATTGACAACTCGCACATTAGCTGATTGCCTACTGTAAAACTACTGTGTTGCTGTTGTATGTTTACTGCAAATTATGCGCCAACATTTTTCTGTATTGCTTTATAAATTAATTAAACATCTATTATTGGAGAGCTAAACGATTTGTTAAACCCAAATTGGTTGTATTATTTTAGGCTTCTACAAACTAAATAACTAGACATAGTCAATATACCTAAACCACTTTAAGTAGGGTGAGGTAAGCATGCTTTAGGTGTTTGTATCACTTATTTCCAGATTCTATACTTGTGAAACATGAATACAACAAAAGCCACTCTTTTAATATGTGGGTTTTAAATACAAATTAGTTTAAATTGTATTTTTATGCAATTTTTACTGTTTAAACATTCATGCCATAAATTATAATGTTGTATTGAATTGTTCGTATTGAACTTTATGCTTGGCTTAGATTTCATACTATGTACAATAATGTTAAGAATGTATTATAATTTTATCAAACGACTTCACCACTACTTACCACTACTAAAAGGAGGAGGTTCTCAATTTGTTTGTGGCAATGTTTTTTTTTTTTTTATGAATACGAAACACACTTTAAATTTAAATTTGAATTTTAAATAGGCAATATCGTAATACTAATTGCACACAGGACAGTCAATTGTTTGTAAACAGAATGTTTTACGTAGTGTTTATAGTTGGTTAAATAAAAACGATATTAAAGAATACTCCATCTTTGCATGGCGAAAGGAACCATACCACAAATATGTCTCCAGACCAACCATACGGTTCGTGAATGTTAGGCAAAAATGTTGTGTGTGTCTTTATTAATTGCAAGTTTATCTTTCGTCATGCACAAAATTCCTTCAGATTCGTTTTAATTAATTTTTTATCACGATCAAAAACTACTTTATCAAACTTTAAAAATATCTCATATTTCGTAATCTATTCATTTTTCTAATCTAAACACAATATAGCTGTACAATTAATTTTGGTGTAAAATTCAGCTGATTGTAACTTTGTTTATGTCAGGCGTCTTGTTGTTTAGGTAATGTTTATGTAGCGAAATTAATGTTTATGCCAGGAAAGGTCAGCTGATCACTATTTGTTTTAGGTGTATGGAAATTGAAGATTTTCGAAGAGGTCAGCTGTATGGAAATGGGTTATTTTCCAATACAGATTAACGAAAATTATTGTAATAATACTCTCACAATGATTGGTTCTAGGTGACTGTTGAAATGACTATTGGAGATATGTGTTGCTGTAACTTGCTTTGTATAACAATTCGTAGATGTATTTATACGCAGTAACGCTTACATCATGGAATAGCTTACATCTTGTTTTGATTCTGCCAAATCAATTAGACCCAGTTCTGCCAATTATCAGATGATAGACGACCAATGTTGCCAATACACTAATTGGGTCTACAGTCGTGCATCACTAGTGTCCAAGTGTAATAGAGGTGAGAACACACGATGTCTATTGACAGTGATCTATATTGGTACAGTAGTTGTGAAGTAAGGCTAATAACTGTCAATAGGGCAATAAGTAGGCCCAAACAGCAACAAGCCATTCTACAGTGCACAGAGAGATATTCAACACTAAGAACTAGCATTATTAGGAGTGCCTGTGTGGTGATGATGTTGTTTGATTTGGTTCTTTTAGATAAAATTCTGTCAAGTATACGATTAATCTACATAACATAGCTTAAAGTTTGTACGTCTGTATCTTCGTAAATACATCTCTTCCTAAGCCATTACCAAACCACTATTCGTCATAGGAGATATTGTTTTTCAAATTGGACATCTACCAATCGTGCTTTTAGGATAACCATGTTAAGTTTCAGAAAACTATCTTATCAATTGGCTTCATGGAAATGACTTTCAAA